ATCTATTTTATTCTATTTTCTTGTTTCTGCCTTTTATTCTTTTAGTCTTTCTCTCTTTTATTCTTTTTTTTTTGTTTCTCTTTTTTATTCTTTTGGTCTTCCTCTTTTATTATTTTTTCTTTTTGTTTTTCTCTTTCATTTTTTTTTGTCTCCCTCTCTTTTATTCAATTTTCTTATTACCCTCTTTTATTCTATTTTATTGTTTCCCTCTTTTATTCTTCCCTTTTTATTCTCTTTTCTTGTTTCTCTCTCTTATTCTTTTGGCCTTCCTCTCTTTTATTCAATTTTCTTCCTCCTCTCTTTTATTCTCCTCCCTTGTTCCTATCTTTCCTTTTCTCCTCTTGTCTCTCTTTCGCCATCAACTTCCTCCGCCATTTCTATCTATTCCACCAAGGTCTCAGTGAAATGGGATTTTCAGCATCAAAGACAACTTAGGCGGCAGTTCCATGGTGGTTAATCTGAGTAGAGATAAACATGTTCATAATCATAATCATTTTCATTTTCGTTATGACCAGTATTCGTTTCATTATTGCTATCATCACGACCATTAACCATCTTCATCTTCGTGATTTTCATCTTCATCTTCATCATCTTCATCTTCTTCATCTTCATCTTCATCTTCATCATCTCCATCTCCATCTTCATCTTCATCTTCATCATCATCATCATCATCATCATCATCATCATCATCATCATCATCATCATCATCATCATCATCATCATCATCATCATCACCATCATCATCTTCATCATCAACATCATCATCTTCATCTTCATCTTTATCTTTATCTTCATATTTATCATCATCACCATCACCATCAGAATCATTATTACTATTATCATTTACTGTGTCTTCCCATAAATGGATAAATAGATACACTAATAAATTTATAAATTGGGAAATGTTTAAGAAAATAAAGACATTTTACAAGTAAAGTCAATTATAGACAGGACTCTCTCTCTCTCACTCACTCACTCACTCACTCACTCTCTCTCTCTCTCTCTCTCACTCTCTCTTTCTCTCTTTCTTTCTCTCAAATACTAAGTTTTCCACACCTTTAGTATATTCCCTACATAAACTGCCTCAAGAAATTTACATGTTGCATTTACAGGTATCATGCATATCTTTTTTTTTTTTTTTTTTTTTTTTACAAATAACACCAACAAAGAAAAATCCTTTTGAAATTAGCTCAGAGATTCCCAGACGCACAGCAATATATCGCTCACTCAAATTTCATTAAGTTAAGCTTTTGTTTTTATTCTCTCTCTCTTTCGTTATTATTTTCTTTTCATCTTTTGTTTATCCTGTTATAACGTCGCTTGGAAGGGGGTTGTTTCTGTTCCCTTTTTTGTAACTATTATTATTATTATCATTATTATTATTATTATTATTATTATTATTGTTGTTGTTATTATTATTATTATTGCTATCATTATTATTGTGGTTATTATTATCATTATTATGATCATTATTATTATCATTATTATCAGCATTATCATCATATTCATCATCATCATCCTAATTATTATCATTATTATTATTTTCATCGTTATCATTATTATTATTATTATTATCATCATTATCATCATTATCATTATCATTATTATTATTATTATTATCATTATTATTATTGTTGTTGTTGTTGTTATCATTGTTATGATTATTATCATTATCATTATTGCTATCTTTTATTCTTATTATTCTTTTAGCTTTTGTTTGTTGCTTAATAAATCTTTCTTCTTTTTTATCAGTTTTTGTGTTTTGTATTAATCATTCAATTATTCCTTTATTTAGCTGTTCCTCTGTGTGTCAAATCAATCATTTATTTATCTGTTTATTGATTCAATTATATATTTATTCATTTATTTAGAGAGAGAGGGAAAGGGAGGGAGAGGGAGGGAGACTGAGAGGGAGGAAGGGAGGGAGGGAGGGAGGGAGAGAGAGAGAGAGAGAGAGAGAGAGAGAGAGAATAAAGTGAGAGAGAGAGCGAACGCGAGCGAGAGAAAGAGAGCCAGCGGAAGATAAACCGAGACCGAAGCAACAAGAGAATAAAGCCAGTAATTACGAGCGCGTGATAATAGCATTAGCAAGGCAGTCATGAGCCCGCGGCGCCCATGCCAACACCCCGCTGTGTGTACGTGGGCGTGAGGACACGCTGGCGACGGCTGTTGTCAGGGCGCGCGGGCTGCTCTCGCTGTCTGTCTGTCTGTCTGTTTCTATCTCTGTCTATTTCCATCTCTGTGTCTAACTCTCTCTATCTATCTATCTATCTTTATCTTTATCTCTATCTCTATCTCTTCCTCTCTCTCTCTCTCTCTCTCTCTTTCTTTCTCTCTTTCTCTCTCTCTCTCACTCTCTCCTTCTCTCCCTCCTTTCCTCCCTCTCTCTCCCTCTCTTTCCTTCTCTCTACCTCCTTCCTACTCTCCTTCCTTCTCTCTCCCTCTCTCTTTCTCTCTCTCTCTCTCACTCTCTCTCTCTCTCTCTCTCTCTCTCTCTCTCTCTCTCTCTCTCTCTCTCTCTCTCTCTCTCTCTCTCTCTCTCTCTCTCTCTCTCTCTCTCTCCCTCTCTCTCCCTCTCCCCCCCCCCCCCCTCTCTCTATCTTTCTCTACCTCTTTCGGTCTCGTGGGACTTGAAACGATTCACCAAGAGAAGAGAAAAGAACGGTTATGTTGAAAATTGCTCGGATGCAGGCACATGCACACACGCACACGTACACACACATGCATACATACTGATCAATGGATCGCCCTCTCCCCCAACATGCACACACATATCCCAATTAATGTTTTAAATGTTTAATTCATGTTTTAAATCTTTAATTGAACGGATAAGAATTTCCTTCGTCACATTCTACAAGGGCCAAAGATCCCATACATCTCACGGAATTCAGAAACTTTCTTCAAGGATGCCACCGCCCTCCCCTCTTCTCTCTTTTTACTTCTCTTGCTCCTCCTCATCTTCCTCTTGCTCTTCCTCATCCTCGTCTTCCTTCTTTTCTCCGCCTCCTCTTTCTCCTTCTTCTTCTTGTTCTTCTCCTCCTCCTCCTCCTCCTCCTCCTTATTATTATGATTATTTTATTCCTCCTTATTGTTCTCTTCCTTCTTCTTCTTCTTCTCCTCCTCCTCCTCCCACTCCCCTCCCCCCTCCCCCTCCTCCTCCTCCTTCTCTTTATCCACCCTCCCCTCTCCCTCCTCCTCTCCCCCCTCCTCCTCCTCCTCTTCCTCCTCCTCCTCCTTCCCCTCCCCCCCCTCCTCCTCCTCCTCATCTATCCTCCCCCTCCCCCCTCTTCCCTCCTCCCCCTCCTCCTCCTCCCCCCTACGAACTCTCCCGAAAGTAACCTGTTGCTAGCTGAACACAGAGCCTCGTAGACATGCAAATGAGCCTCAGAATTTGCGTGAGCGGTGAGGCCTCGCGGAGGACTACAGTGCCCTTAAGTACAGTGATTGGTATAGTGAGCATGGTGTCGCTGGGGCCGAGGGAGGTCTGAGGAAAATCACATTTGCTGACGTAAACAATTCCGGAGATTGCAGACACTGTGTCGGTTGATGGTATCGGATGCAAAGGGGATTGCAATATAGATAAAGCTTTGGTGATGAAAGGGGTAATTGTCAAAAGCGAATGAGAGAGAGAGAGGGAGAGGGAGGGAGAGAGAAAGAGAGGGAGAGGTAGAGAGAGGGGGGGGAGAGAGGGAGAGAGAGAGAGAGAGAGAGAGAGAGAGAGAGAGAGAGAGAGGGAGAGAGAGAGGGAGAGAGAGAGGGAGAGAGAGAGAGAGGGAGAGAGAGAGAGGGAGAGAGAGAGAGAGAGAGAGAGAGAGAGGAGAGAGAGAGAGAGAGAGAGAGAGAGAGAGGGGGGGACTCCAAAAAATCTAATTCAAAATACTTTTTTGACATTACATATAAATATAAGATGCATATAGAATTAATGTCAGTACATTCTTATATTTTGAAACCTAATGTCACTAGTGATTTAAGAGACCTTCCTTTAATTTAGAAAAAAGAGATGAACAGAAGGTTTAATCAACCAAATAATCACCCCCCTACCCCCACCCCACCCTGCCTCACCTCGCAAAAAATAAGCATAAAAAATGGCTCCAAATCACATTACTTATAAACAAATGGGGCCTCCTATATCAGCATCGAACGCCCTGCATGCAAAATTTCCCTCGAGGCTCGAACTCCATCTTTCGGCTGACTTAAGAAACTGAATAAGTCCTGAGACAAAAGGGGGTTTCCGCTTGCTTGCAGATACAGTATAAGCCCCTCGTGTGGGGATTTGCATGTGAGGATAATGGATTGTGTACGGAGCGGCGTGTTGGAGGGGGGGGGGGGGGTATGGCTGTGTGTGTGTGTGTGTTTGTATGTGGTAGGGAGTATGTATGTTTGTGTGTGTGTGTTTAATAATGATGATTGTTTTTTGTGTGTTTTGGAAGTGGTATATTTACACGTAGTATATTATTATTATTGTTGCTGTTTTTATGATTATGGTAAGCTATATAAAGTCAAAACAGGGCTAAGAAAGAAAGAATCGGAGAAGTAAAATCGCTGAAGGTAATCTATTCCAAACCTCACCAATAGCAGTAAAAAGCATCTAGAAAACTGAGAAGCAACCGCTCGACTGGATCAAATGTCATTGAATTCAGAGACATAGAACTTCTAGTAACTCTTGCAGGTTGATAAAAATCAGGTAAAAACTTTTAAAGGGGGTGTGAATTATGGGTTACAAATTTGACTGTATCCTTGCGATGCTCAGTAGCCAAATTTAAGTCAGAGAGGAGAAATTTAATGGAGGTAAAAGAACGACCAGGCTGTGCGTGACCCCACAGGAGAACAATACTTAAAATGAGGCAGAACAAAAGTTAACTTCGGTGAAACTACCCAGGCCATATTCCTAATTTGCAATTGAAATGTAAGCTTTGACTCAAGGGTTACACCCAAGAGCTTCAGATTTTTACTGAATTGACGAAGACTCCATTAATCAACAGACTTAGACGCTGAGGCAATTGTGTTCTTGACATTTTTTTCCTTTAACTTGGTAGTATTTAATTTGATGGCCATGACTGAATTATCATCAGGTCTGCAGTTAAGCTGTCAGCTGCTGTTTACCGAAGAAGGAATATCAGCAAAGACTATCATCAGCATATGCCAAGATTTTGCAATGCCGGACCACATATCACTTGTATGTAAAATGAAGACCAAAGAGCCAAGAACGCTACAATGAGGAACCCCAGAAGATAAACAGAAATACGAGCTAAAAACTGTTGTGATTAACAGTGTCAAAAGCCGCACTAAAATCCAGAGAGACAAGCCTTGACTCATGACCCTTATCTAAAGCAGTCTGCCTTTCATGCACCAACACAAGCGATGCATCATGGCAGCCGAGTGTTTCTGGAAGTAACGGTCTCGAATATACGGAAAGACATTTAGCCAGCAAAAGTTAAAAAAAACTTGGGCCTATAGTCAATAGGTGAAGAATGTAATGGGCCCTTGGGAATAGGTTTAACATTACCAAAGCGCCAGCTCTCAAAAAATGACTCTTGGGGAACAAAAAGGCGAAAGATTACAGCTAATTTAGGAGCTACTTTACCAAGGTTTTTAAAATCAGAGGAAACAAGCCATTAGGGTCTACTCCACCATATTCATCGAATTCCGATAACAGATATTGATTTCAGAGGACTGGAAAGTATATGAATTAGAGCATGGAATGGGTGACATGAGAGAGGAAGTTAGATATCGTCTAAACGCAATTGAAATATATGTAACACTAAAATCAGGTTTCATTAAAGGAGGAATGGAGGACTCTACGTCTAAGATGTTTTAAGTGTTGACCTCCATTTATGAGGCTGTGACGCTTCCGGGAGAACTTCTTTCAAAGGCTGTGTGCTGTTGGTCATTTTCTTGAATGGAAATGTGCAGTGTTAGTAAACAAGTTGTCTTCAGAACTGGACTTTTATAAAGATGGAAATATAAAAATATATTAAAGCGACTATACACTCTCACAACCATGTGTTCATGAAAACACATTCATATTTCGTAAAATGACTAGCATTAAAACCAACCTTAAACACATAAATATTATAAACATAAACCTTGGGCTCGAGGCAAAGAATTTCTTTGTAGCAACAAGGGTTAATTAGAATTAAGCAAAAGCAACTGAGGTGTGCCTCACGTCTGAGTTTCAGCACAAATAACGTCACGTTTAGTTGAGATAACTGTTAGTCCATTCGAAATCCTGTAAAGTCCACTTATATTACTAAAAAGTAAATTACAATACTTGTACAGGTAGGGCTGAGATTAAACACATCATCAACCGACAACAAAACAATAATTCTGCATAAAAGATAACATAAATTCGAGGAAGAACTCAATTATCAAAATCCCAGAGATTCTTGGCAACCCTGACCACAGAAGGCCTGCTGGGAACTGGGGAGTCATGGCTATATCTACATTATAGGATAAAAAGAAGAAAGAAAATATGAGAAAGGAAGGAAAACAAGAGATACAGGGCCTACTATGAAGAGGTGGCTGAATTCAGAAATGTTGGCCACACAGCTATGGCTACAATTCGGAGGGTCCACCACAAGGATGCCGTTGGTGGCGAACTACTCATCTGCCTTTGCTATAACAGCAGGGATACCTAAAGCCCTTATGACCCGTACGCTTACTGAGGATAGACATTGGCCGGTGGTCTTCAAGTGAGAATTCATCGAGGCCTTTCCTTCGCACCTGGGTTCTCAGAGCCCTACCGAATTGCTCATCCGCTCAGAGACTGTTAGCAAACAAGATTTTCCCTAAACATAATGCTCAAAGAGTCAAATATAGTTTATATGGTCAAAATCCACGTATAGTCAAACTCACACAAACAAACAGCACACGTACACAGTCCTTCCTCTCAAGCATTCCTGCCATACAAGATTTCTGATGAAAACGGTTGATTACTTTTTCCCGGGGGATCGCAGGCGTCCCTGGTGTTTCCTCCTCCTTGGCAGCGGCTTAGTAAGGCAAAGTCATATAGATTCCTTTAACAGGTCATGTATGTGCGTATATGTATTTACCTATTTACTTCTTTATCTACATGTATATATATATCGACTGATCCTCCGTTCATGTTCAGCAGAACAAAGAACAACAAAATTTCATTTCCACTGACAACATATCTAAATAAAAAAATAAAAAAACAGCAGAGCCGGTGCACGCCAGAATCACACGTACTATTTTCCCATAAATCTCCTTATTTCCAACTGCCTGTGCATAAAGATATAGTTTTGTATATGTCGGGGAGCGGGCGATCCAACAAAAGATAGTATTGCAGTTTCTACATCTCCATGGTTTTCAGCTTCAGGAATGGAATGGGAAAGGAAAATCCTGAGAGAAAACAGTGATGAAATGTATATTTTTCTCTTTTTTTTCAGACACAAATCCGAGACCGTGAACTCCACTCCTGCCGAACTCAAAGCTCAGGACTTCCAGGTACGAATTGAAATATATATATATATATACATATATATATACATATATACATGTGTGTGCGTACGTGCGTGTGTGTGTGTGCGTGTATGTGTGTGTGTGTGTGTGCGTGTACGTGTGCGTGTGTGTGTGTGTGTGTGTGTGTGTGTGTGTGTGTGTGTGTGTGTGTGCGTGCGCGCGCGTGTGTGCTTGCGTGCGTGCGTGCGTGTCTGTGTGTGTGTGTGTGTGTAAGTAAACAGAAAATAATAATAATAATAATAATAATAATAATAATAATAATAATAATAATAATAATAATAATAATAATAATAATAATAATAATAATAATAATAATAATAATAATAATAATAATAATAATAATAATAATAATAATAATAATAATAATAATAATAATAATAATAATAATAATAATAATAATAATAATAATAATAATAATAATAATAATAATAATAATAATAATAATAATAATAATAATAATAATAATAATAATAATAATAATAATAATAATAATAATAATAATAATAATAATAATAATAATAATAATAATAATAATAATAATAATAATAATAATAATAATAATAATAATAATAATAATAATAATAATAATAATAATAATAATAATAATAATAATAATAATAATAATAATAATAATAATAATAATAATAATAATAATAATAATAATAATAATAATAATAATAATAATAATAATAATAATAATAATAATAATAATAATAATAATAATAATAATAATAATAATAATAATAATAATAATAATAATAATAATAATAATAATAATAATAATAATAATAATAATAATAATAATAATAATAATAATAATAATAATAATAATAATAATAATAATAATAATAATAATAATAATAATAATAATAATAATAATAATAATAATAATAATAATAATAATAATAATAATAATAATAATAATAATAATAATAATAATAATAATAATAATAATAATAATAATAATAATAATAATAATAATAATAATAATAATAATAATAATAATAATAATAATAATAATAATAATAATAATAATAATAATAATAATAATAATAATAATAATAATAATAATAATAATAATAATAATAATAATAATAATAATAATAATAATAATAATAATAATAATAATAATAATAATAATAATAATAATAATAATAATAATAATAATAATAATAATAATAATAATAATAATAATAATAATAATAATAATAATAATAATAATAATAATAATAATAATAATAATAATAATAATAATAATAATAATAATAATAATAATAATAATAATAATAATAATAATAATAATAATAATAATAATAATAATAATAATAATAATAATAATAATAATAATAATAATAATAATAATAATAATAATAATAATAATAATAATAATAATAATAATAATAATAATAATAATAATAATAATAATAATAATAATAATAATAATAATAATAATAATAATAATAATAATAATAATAATAATAATAATAATAATAATAATAATAATAATAATAATAATAATAATAATAATAATAATAATAATAATAATAATAATAATAATAATAATAATAATAATAATAATAATAATAATAATAATAATAATAATAATAATAATAATAATAATAATAATAATAATAATAATAATAATAATAATAATAATAATAATAATAATAATAATAATAATAATAATAATAATAATAATAATAATAATAATAATAATAATAATAATAATAATAATAATAATAATAATAATAATAATAATAATAATAATAATAATAATAATAATAATAATAATAATAATAATAATAATAATAATAATAATAATAATAATAATAATAATAATAATAATAATAATAATAATAATAATAATAATAATAATAATAATAATAATAATAATAATAATAATAATAATAATAATAATAATAATAATAATAATAATAATAATAATAATAATAATAATAATAATAATAATAATAATAATAATAATAATAATAATAATAATAATAATAATAATAATAATAATAATAATAATAATAATAATAATAATAATAATAATAATAATAATAAAAATCACACTATTCTCCCTCCATAAAAAAGCACCTTTAGTATATTCTCTGTTAACATACCCCAACGTCCACATATATATAAAACCCCAACATTGCTTAACGCTTATAGTCACAATCCCTAATCCTCCCGAACGCAGGTATGCATAACAATCATTGAAGCGCGACAACTGGCCGGCCTCAACATGGACCCTGTGGTGTGCGTGCAAGTCGGAGACCAGAAGAAATACACGTCAGTGAAGGAATCTACGAACTGCCCGTACTACAATGAGGTGAGTGACGTGAGCTGACGTGGCGGTAGGGGGGGGGGGAGGGGAAGGGCGGGGATGTAGAATGAAGGTGGAGAGAGGAGTGTGTTGGTAAGGGGTTAGTGTGGGAGAGAGGGAGAGGGAGTGACAGAGGGAGAGGGAGTGGGAGAGAGGGAATGGGTTTGGGGGGAGATGGAGGATAAGGGGGAGGGAAAGGGTAAGGGGGTGAGAGAAGGGAAAGGGATGCGAAAAGGGTTAAGGGGAGGAGAAAGGCAAAAGGAAGAGAGAGAGAGAGAAGGGAAAAGGAGAGGGAACAGGACAGAGAGGGTGAGGAGGGAGTCAAAAGAAGAGAGAGAGAGAGAGAGAGAGAGAGAGAAAGAAAGAAAGAGTAAGAGCAAGAGCAAAAGCAAGAGCGAGAGCAGCAGGAGCAAGGGCAGAAGAGAGTCTGAGGGAGAGAGCACATATTAAGCTCACCATCAGTTATTTTCCTCCTGGCGGCCAGAGCGAACTGCCAGAGTAGATGATTAGAAATGATTAATGGAAACGGGGACTGGAATGGGAATAGGTAGAAGGGAAAAAATGGAGAAGCGGAAATTGAAATAAATGTGATAGGGTGCAAGTTGTACAGGAAACGGGTAACGGTTTTAGATAAATTAAGTGAACGGAGGATTATTTCGGATTTTATGACAAAAAAAAAAAAAAAAAAAAAAAAAAAAAAAGTTACGTGACATCATCATTGTCATCGATTACGTACATGCCTATTGCTATCATTATCATTATCATCATTATTTCTACTCTTTATTCCTTTTCTTTCCCACAGTATTTCGTGTTCGACTTCCACATGGCCCCGGCTATGCTTTTCGACAAGATAATTACATTGACGGTAAGTGTCTTAATAATGTGCAGATTATCAATTACCTTTATTTAGAGGTACGTCATTTAATTCTGGATTATGGGTCTTATTTTCTCGCTTATTCTTTTGTTTGATTGATTTCACTCTTATCGTCTGTATTTGTATCGTTGTTATTAGTATTATAGTAATCGTCTTTATTGTCAGTGTCTGTGTTATCATGATTTTTATTTTATTGCTTCTATCATTTGTACTATTGTTAAATGATTATCATTATTGCTGTTGTTCTCATTAGTATTATTATTATTGTTATCATTATTATTATTATTATTATTATTATTATTATTATTATCATCATCTTTATCATTATTTTATTATTATTATCATTATTGTTATTGTTATTAATTATTGTTATTATTATCATTATCATTATTTTGTTATTCTTATTATTGTTATTATTATTATTATTATTGTTATTATCATTATCATTATTTTATTATTATTATCATTATTTTATTATTATTATCATTATTTTATTATTATTATTATTAGTAGTAGTAGTAGTAGTATCTTTATCATTATCATTATCATTACCATTGTTATATATTATAATTGTTATTATCATTATTATTATTAGTAGTAGTATTAGGAATAGTGTTGTCATTTCATCATAATTGTTATTATTATTATTATTATTATTATTATTATTATCATCATTATTATTATTACTACTATTACTATTATTATTATTATTATTATTATTATTATTATTATTATTATTATTACTATTATGTTATTATCATTATCATTATCATAACTATAGTTATCTTTATTATCATTATTATTATCATTATTATTATTACTTTTGTTTGTATTATTTTTATTAGTAGTATCATCATTATTATCATTACTGTTGTTATTGCCATCATTATTATTGTTATTATTGTCATTAGTAAAATAACAATATAATAAAAATATCTGAATTTAGAAATCAGAAACGGGAAACCAAGAATGACGGGTGATAAATAAATAGATAAATAAATAGATAAATAAATAAACAAATAAATTAATAAATAACATATAAATAAAACATTTTCCAACAGTCGAGAAAAATATGTATTTATATTACTGTATTTAATCTATTGAAAATATAACAGTAATGATGAATATTTGATTGAAATTTGTGCATAACCAGATGTCCATTTGGCGAATAATGTTGATAAGCGATCAAATCTTTCATGTCATATGTTTATTATTTAGATTTTATGCAGAGAAAATATATATATATTTTTTCTTGTTTCACGTTAATTACTTCGGGGAGCTTTTAATATCAATTTGAAATATTTTTGGAGTGTTATAGCTAGAGTGTTCTAGTACTAGCTAATTGTGTTATATATTATGGAATGAATAAACAGGTTGGGAGTTGCATGATTAGTGTTATTATTATCTTCAGCATTTTTCAACATTTTTATAATTATCATTATTATCTTTATTTCCTCCTCATGATTATTATTGTTTAGATATTATTATGATGATTATTATCATTATTGTTATTATTTATTATTATTTATTATTATCGTTATAATTATTATTATTATTATTATTATTACTGTCATCATTGTCATTATAATTATTATTTCTGAATGTTATTCAAATTTTCATGATTTTTATCATGAATTCTATAAATTCTATAATTTTATTATTATCATTATTACTATCATTAGTAATAGTAGTGATAGTAGCAGTCGTACCATAATCATTATTATCAGTATTCTTCTTATATTAATTATCATAATTGTAATTAATAATCTGTTTATTATTTCATGTTCTGTTTTAAGTTTGGTCATTTTGATTAATATAATTTTGATAACCATTTTTATCATTATTATCACCACTATATATATCGTCCTTTTTCATTATCAATATTACTTTTATCGATGTTATTATCACTATTATCATTATCCTTTCTATTACTTTCCCTGTCATCATTATTACCAGTATCATTTCTATAGCAACTGTAAATACAATATCAGTTATTAATGTTATCATGTTTTCTCTTTCTTATCTATGTTATCATAAATATTTATTCCTCTATCACTCTTTATGCTCTTTATTCCCATTATATTTAACTGGCAACTTCGTGGCCTTACAGGTGCTTCATTCAAAGAAGTTTTTCTCAAAGGGCGAAGTTGTCGGCTGGTTCAAGATGGATGTGGCAACACTGTTCCGGGTCCCTGGTATACAAAACACTTCTCTCTTCACACATTCATTTCTCTACATTGTTTTATCGACACGACATTCCCTTTCGAAATTACAAGATATCTGTTTATTTTTTTTCGGCAATGACACTTTTGTTTTCTACAATATTTTTTGCACATGGAATGACGCACATCAGAGGCCAGGTAGCTTCGTCTGTTCGGGCACTTCACCACGGCGTTCGTGTTTGAATTAATATCACTTTTTCCCTTCCTTTCCCCTTCTTCTTTTTTCTATTTTATGCAAATCTGCATTTTCATTTTTTGATCAATTATTTTTTTTTTCTATGCTTTTTTATTTCTTTATTTTGGTTCTATTAAAAAGTGGTTAGGTTAACAATTCCTCTCCCTTTCTCTCTTTCAAACAGATTTAGCGTTTAATCTCCTTCGTCTTTTATTTATTTATAGTTTATTCTTCCCCTTCCTTTGAACTCAAGCAATTTCCCTTCAGACAGCACTGCATGAGCACTGGAACGCAACGAGCAAGCAGTGCACCGCGTGATGTTCTTCGTAACAACCCTGTTTATGTGGCTCTGTTAACCCCCCAGGAAGAAAAAAATAAATAAATCTCTTTCAAAAATCAGTTTAAACATCTTATGGAGTTGAGTGAATTGTTTATGGTTGTTTAAGTTTTTTTTTTAGATATAAGTTTTAAGTTTTCGTGGAAGAAATGTATTTCTGTGAAAGGGATTTATTTTCTTTTTTTTCTTTTGTTGGTCCATCAACAGGTCGGATTTTAGAACCAGTTCACTCTTGTATTACACACTCTCTCTCTCTCTCTCTCTCTTTCTCTCTCTTCTCTCTCTCTCTCTCTCTCTCTCTCTCTCTCTCTCTCTCTCTCTCTCTCTCTCTCTCTCCCTCCCTCCCTCCCTCTCTCTCTCCCTCCCTCTCTCTCTCTCTCTCTCTCTCTCTCTCTCTCTCTCTCTCTCTCTCTCTCTCTCTCTGTCTCTCTCTCTCTCTCTCTCTCTCCGTCTCTCTCTCTCTCTCTCTCTCTCTCTCTCTCTCTCTCTCTCTCTCTCTCTCTCTCTCTCTCTCTCTCTCTCTCTCTCATATCACACCCTTCTCTCCTGCCCGCCCACGATCTCCCTGCCTGTCTCACGCCCGTTCTGCACTCTCTCACGCCCACCCGTAGGTCTTGCAATGTCGGAACATCCTCCGGTCTAACAAGGTCCTGGGGAGTTTTAAACTGGACGTAGCAACCGTGTGGTCCCAGCCAGGTATGTTCTCGTGAAGGGCAGGTAAGGTGTATGTACCTGATGTATGGTGGTTTTTGTGTCTATTATGAATAGGTACGTTTACCGGTAGTGCTGAGGTTGGTGTTCATTCATTAGCTGTATAATGTCTTTTAGGGCTGATACCAGAATCCCTTCCGAGTCATGTCAGGCGAATTATAGAGAACGACAGAGCTATAAACCATTTTCTACCTTTCGTCAACCATATAAAGCTTACTAGAAGAAGAAGCATACGAAAAAGAAGATAAAGAAAAAAGAAAAAGATGAGAAAGACGATAAAGAAAAAAAGAGGAGGAGGCAGATGAAAAAGAATAAATAGATTAAACCTGAAATCCACTTTAACTGGTCACTTTCGAGCCAGCCCACGGTCGATTTCGCCATTTCATTATTTTTCCTTCGTTCCCGTTTGCAAATGATTCCTTTGAAACCAGCGACTGTGAAGAATTAAGTGAGCCAATCGAGTGTTGTGTTTCGCCCGGAGTATCACGTTAATTGGTACGCCGTGAGGTTTATATTTCGTCTTTGATAACGATATCGTATTCTGAGAATCATTGGAATGCAGGCAAGATGAGATGGGTCATAAAAATAGGAAAATAGGACGAAGAAAAATAGGAAAGGACAAAGCAGTGTGATTATAGAGAGCGAATGTTGGTTTTATCAACGTTATCATTATTCAGGGTAACTCAATTATTTATGTATTCTAGTTATTTATCTGTTTATGTATTAGTCTCTTTTTTATCCGTTCTCTTTTGCAATACAAATGATGCAGTATTAATGACTTTAACTCTGTAACCTAAGGTGGATTAGATATTGTAAACAGTATGATAACGATATGCAGATTACGCGCTTTGAAAATTCTGCAGTTTTTCCCTATCAGTAATGTTTTTTTTTTATAATATATAAAGGGCTTATTAATTATACAAGGCATTAGGTCATATATAATAAGATGTGCATATGTACAAACACACGCTTACGATGAACACACACACACACACGCACGCACGCACACACACACACACACACACACACACACACACACACACACACACACACACACACACACACACACACACACACACACACACACACACACACACACATTTACTCACTCACGCACTCACTCACTCACTCACTCACTCACACAAATAAACAAACAAACACATACACCTGAAAAAAAAACATAAAACACATTCACACCAACCCACACATAAACGCAATTAAACACAAATTAAAACAAAACAAAGCAGAAAACACACAAAATTTAAATAGATAGAATGTACTACACCCTAATTGCATTCTACATTTCACTCTTGGCTGAAAGGTGAAGTTTATTTAGCGTAGTAAATTTGGAGAGCAAGCAAAGGAAGGGACTTTATGCTCGCAATTCATCAGCCTTACTGAGCTACTCCGGAATTTGTGTGTTTTGGTGAGTGAAAGAAGGAAAGGGAGAGAGAGAGAGAGAGAGAGAGAGAGAGAGAGAGAGAGAGAGAGAGAGAGAGAGAGAGAGAGAGAGAGAGAGAGATGGGGAAGGGGGGAGGGAGAGGTTGAGATGGTGAAAGTAAGAGGTAGGGGAGAGGGAAAGATGGAGGGAGGAAGGAGGAAGGGGGGGGGGGGGGAGAAGTTGAGATGGAGAAAGTGAGGGGTAAGAGAGAGGGAGAGATGGAGAGAGGGAGGTTAGGATAAGGATGAGGGAGAGGGAGTGAGAGTGAGGGTGAGGACGAGGGAGAGGGAAAAGGAGAGAGGTGGAAAGAGTAAGAATGAGAGAGATGGAGAGGAAAGAGAGAGAAATGGACAGGGTTAGAGTGAGGGAGGGAGGAACAGATTGAGTGAGGGTGAGGAAGAGGGGCAGAAAGAGAAAAAAGAAGAAGGAGAAGGAGAAGGAAAGGGAGTAGGGCAGGAAGACAGAGAGATAAGAAGGGTGCGTAGGGAAAGAGAAAGAGGGAGAAAGAGAGAGAGAATGATAGAAAGAAGGAAAGAGAAAGAGAAAGAAAGAGAGTGAAACAATAATAAAAGTTTTTTTAGACAGACCAACAAATAAAGAGACGAACGGACAGGCAAAGAAACAGTAAAGAATATAATACATTTTAAAAAAGATAAACAAACAAACCCTTACCGTCTTTAACATCATAAACCACAATAATAAAATTTGTTACTTCACCTTTTCATTACAAAGGAAAGGCAGGGGAACAGAGGCCCATGTGTATAACTGTTTGCAGGATTAGCCAAAAGTTTTTCCACTCGCGAAATATTGCTGGTTTCGGTTGCAATGGGGATTCAAGTTGCAGAATAATGTATGTGTATTTATTTTATCGCTATGGATGCTTTTAGAGCTTTTTAGGCGCCTATGTGTTGTTATATATGTGTTCAATTCCTTCAAATGTTTTATGGTCATAGTACTTGTAAATATTTTAATGGAAGTATTTGGTAGGGGAATATATTACTGTTTAATTATATATGGACATTGGTGTTTAAAGTGTAAGAAAAAGGTATTTCAGTTGTGATAATGTGATATTATAATTGTTGTTATTAGCTCTGTCAATGATGATGATAACACTATTAGATGATTGCAATATTGCTTAAAGTAGGAAATAATAATAATATTAATGGTAACGGCTATGGTAATTATTAAGAAAATAACAATAAATGGTTAATCAACATCATGTTCATATTGTTATATTTACTTCCATCATAATATTTATCATAACCATCATTGTATGACAGAAACTAAAGAATTGTTTTTTTTATATTCATCATCCTTTACACTATACCACTATTACACCATAAGAGCAATTCAATCAACATCTAACATCACACACCATCATATCATAACCCCATGACACGATAACGTCAATGCACCGTAATTCCAGGACAATGGACAACCACCACAGCACTAAAATATTTTAACACTACATGGTAGGACATGAACCATACAACCTTAACACCATAGCCCCATCACACCATAACCCCTACCACGCTATCACGACACACAACACCATACTCCTTTAACACCACAGCCCTACCACGCCATCACAACATGCACCCACAATACTATATCCCTTTATTACCACAACCCAACCACATTATCAGAACACCCACCATACTCCTACCACACGACAGCCTTACCACGCTATCCCAACACACAACACCATACTCTACCACCACACCAGCCCTCCCCTCCTATCTATTAATCTCCCCTCTCCCCCTCCACGCCCGCAGAGCACCAATTCTACCACAAATGGGCGTTGCTCACCGACCCAGATGACATCACTGGCGGGCCGAAGGGTTACCTCAAGTGCGACATCTGCGTGGTGGGCAAGGGGGACGCCATCAAGGCCCCCTTGAGGAATGACAAGGATGAGGACGACATTGAAGG